CCTCCTTCCATCAGCCGCTCCCACATGCTCTCTCACGTGCTGTTTTCATAGGCAGGAATAGGTTAGCATCCATGTGAATAATGTACAATACAAACAGCCCGCTGGTTGTTCAAAAGCCACCTGAATCCCAGAGGGTGACTGTGGCTTAGGTGGATATTTGAGGTTTGTGTATAGCTGCTTGAGACCCACCTGTGGCCGTCTGTTTTTCTCTCGAGCTTAATTGCTATGTAAAGAGCAAAAGCACTTTGGCAAACCTCACCATTTTCTCTAATCTATGCTGCAAGCTGCTGGAATGGTAGCTCTGTTGGTTTTTTATGAAAAAGATGCCATGCATAACAGCAACGTGATACTAATGGCAACATGAGCAAATCATTTACCTGATTCCTGTCTGTTGGGTGGTTAAGTGGAAGCCAAAAATAGCACATCCATTCCTGATCCCTGAAATTTGTTTCAAAAGCTCTGCAACTTCAGCTCCCACTAAGAAGCTGGAAACATTATTAATAATAGAAAGTCTTTTGAAAGGACCAGGCAAATTCACTAAGCCTACTGACCTCTTGCTTAGTGAATTCTGTGGACTGCATGCTCATTACATATAGGAGTCTGGCATTTCGGATGTTATTTAATTTACTGTTTCTCATGGCAAACAGACTGGGGCAAGAAAAGCTTCAGGGCTAGTTCTCAATGCAGTCTTTATAATGTGGCCTTCACCACAGAATGCTGTGCAGAATGTTAGTTCTGCATCAAATGCCATGACAGACTGAATGGTGCCATAGGCATGAATCTGATGAGTGCTTTTCTGCGTTCTTTTTTCCATCAAATGAAAAATACCAACCTCTCTGCTAACTCAGGGAGTCCCACAGCCACTCTCTAGCAGATCTCCAGGACACTGGTCACCCCAGACTCACAGCACACCCAGGCTGCCATCAGACTAGCCCTCTTGTGAAACCCTGTCCTGTTTCAGAATGTCTACACTAGCAATGAAGTTCAGATTATTCTTGATTCTCCCCACTTAGTGTGTGTTGCTCAATACTGCCCAACCAGGGTCTTTCTGCAGGAGCTGAACTGAAAGATGTGATTCAGGCACTAATGGGCTTTGAGCCCCTGGGAACACACCGCAACTACACTGCAGGAAAAGCTCCTGAAAGACAAATGTTGGACCCTCGGCACCATCTTGCTCCTAATGCAGACACAGCCAAACTTCACTGTTTGGGCTCTGATTCACTTTGTAGCCAAAGTGCTGCAATATGTGCACAGCAAGATTAACAATGCATAAATTCTACTGACCTGGATGCATGTCTGTAGAGGAAGTTACTGTGAAGTTAGTGAGTGGGACTGGGAACTTACTGTACACTAACTCTTCCTGTCGACCACTCGTAGGGATAATTCACTCCTCCCTAAAAAAGGCATATTCTCCTTCAACAAAAATTTTAATGCTCCTTTAGAGCACATCTGGATTCCCATGTTCATAAGCCTCCAGACAATGCTGGGTGATTAAACATTTATCTGAATGAACTTTCAGAGTGATTTTGTTAAACTGTTTTAAAATTCTGTGTATTGACATTTGAAATTAAAGGAGATGTAATTTTTTTTTCAAAATAAAGTTCAGTTTACTGTTGAAACCTTGGTTCTGAATCAAAGAGCCAATACAAGAGCTTATCTTAGTTTAATGATCCGTTTCAAGAATCTGAAACTAGTGAATTTTGCTTAATTTTTTTTCTGAGAACAACAGTGCAAATAAACCCCACAGAAATCATTCTGATATTAATTTTCTCTCACTGTCCTTGATTTTCAGCCAAATGGATTAGGGGAACCCTTCAGACCGCAAAGCCTGTATTGAAGCAAATATAATACTTGAGGTGAAATGTTAAATTTACACAATGAATTTTTTTCCCAAAGCAGTGCAGGATCAAGCTTAACACTGTTGGATCCTTTTTCCATTTTTCTGGCTGCCTGACCGTATCTTTATTCAGTAATTATGCTTTCATCTCAGAGTGTTGGGTGCTTATGTTTGGTTTGAGAGAAAAAAATATAATTTTCAAATTGCTTCCAGTTTATGCTGTGTATTTCTTCCCATTTATAGAATGTTTTCTGCCTTGGGGTTTTGAGCGGGCAAACCCCCACACTAGCAAAATACCTTTTCAGCCTGAGCATGGCTGCTGGGATTTATCATACCAACACGGGGGCAGACATATGTTGATTTTTACCTCCAAACCTCCTGTTGATTTTTACCTCCAATCAATATGTGGCTTTTTACCTCTGTAGACAAGCAATCTCTGAGCACATGGTGTGGCCTGCAGTCAGTGCCAGCCCCTGGGCTTGGCAGCTTGGTCAGATCTCTACAAAGGGTCATGTTTTCAGCATAAGTTTGCATCTGACCTGGAAAAAGTTGAAATCTAACTATACATGTTGTTGTCAAAGGGGTCCGGTTTTGCTAAGTGTTAATATGTATACCAGGGTCACATTTGCAAATCAAAGAGCCAAGTAGCTAAGAGTTTCTTGCTTAGCAGAGTTACTCTCCCCTCCACCAAACTCGTGACTCTGGCAATAAACAGACCCAGAAGAACATAAACACCTTTGTACATAACAAGTTTTGTTTTTCAGGGTAGGTTTGCATATACTACCTTAAAATTTAATTTAGCTATAATTGGAAGGTGACTTGTATGCTGTTTGTTACAGCTGTGCTCTTGCAACTTGATGCAAGAGATTACAGAGATACGAACTCATTGCTGTGACTCTCAGCAAAATTACAAAACCACAACCTGATATCTAACAGAAGAGGAAATACCAGAGCTGTAACTCACAGCAATATTACTTCCACACAAAAAGGATATAGTGTTCACAAGCGATCATCACAATAGCTATCACCACAGTAGCTCTATGACATCTTCTGTAACTTTCTCTATTTCCTTTTGCTTTCTTTAATTTAACTCTTGTGTTTTTTCCAACCTGAGTAATTTCCCCTGAAATAATTTCAAAAATTGGCATTAGTATAAAAGTACATCCTGCTTGCAACATGTTACATAATTTATATAAATAGTTTGCAGAAAACTCTAAATTCTCCCTTTGATACCTTCTTGTACAGAAGAAGATAAGTACAGAGAAAATATTATATTTATGTAATATATACACATGGCCATATTTATGTAACGTATACACATGGCTTCTGTTCTAATAGATAATCAATATTTTGCACATGCACACAACCACTTTAGTCACAAATAACTTGAGGGAAAAACTACTGCATCTGCTGTCATTGGTACAATTATATTGTCCTTCCCTTCTGCACTGTTACCTGAAGTATAATTTCTTAGCTCTGAGAACCTTGTTCTGATCAGCTGCCCCGAATAGAATCGGTTGAAGTCATGTAAATAGAAGTTCAGCTTAATTATTTTCCTGTTTGAAAAATCACTTTTACCCAAAGCAAGAGATGCTCCATTTCCCTTTCCTGTTTTCCCTCCCTTCAGCTACAAAAATAATTATCTCCATGACAGGTACCAAAATTTTGCTATCTGCCTCTCTCTCTCCCTTCAAAAACACACTCAGCAGCACTCTGTGACAATCGATCAAAAGCATTACAATAATAGTGCTCAACATGGTCTTCACAGACATATTCACTTATACATCTCTGGGATTTCTGTCTGCTACGAGAGCTGAAGAGTGGGAGTCAGACTTCCAGGAGTTTCCTTTTGTTCCTGCCACCGTCTCCAAGGAGCAAGCTTCTATAACCATCTCCACAGTCTACACATACCCCAGGTGGCCAAAGTTCATAGCCACCATCACCTTTCTTTCCCTTTTTGTGACACCTTCTTTTAGGCAGATTCCTCTTTTTATCATATAGAAGTCACCTCCTGCCTGATTTTAGGCACATCTTCTGCAAAAGCTTCCAGTTCTCTACTTGGTCCCTTCCAGACAGATGGGGATGTACCACTTTGCAGCTAAAACAACTTGCTTGTCCCTGGGACACCAGGGTGAAACTATAAAATTACAGCTTTAGTGCAAGTTCTTACTGCCCCTCGTCATATACTGTTTCTTTGGTCATTGATGAACTAATTTAACGATGGTGAACTAATTTAACAGGTTCTCCATCTGTAAAACACATGTACTAATACGTGCATAAACTCTTATCCCTAAGACTGCTAATCCCAAATGAGTCCTGAGAAGCTGAATGTATTTGAAGAGGGCTTATTGACACTCAGATGAAGCATCTTATTGACCTGTAAAATAGCTTCTGGATTAGATGACACAAATCCTAAACCAAACATCATGGCAGTACAACAACTGGGATGCTAACATAATCAAAACAAATCAAGAACAACAACATCAACACAATTCTAGGAATTATTCTGTTCTGAATCAAAAGGAAAAGGTACATCCTTTCCCCTTTCACAGCTCTGGGATAATATTCCAGATTTTCAAAAAACCCTTAAAGTATTGCACTTAAATCTGCTTTTTTTGCTTTACAAAAGTAGATATCGGTGAGCAGTGTAAGCAAATGGCTTAATGCTTATTACTTTCTAAAAACATTTAAGCATATTTAAGAAATTTTAAACTAACTGAAGAAGGGAAACAGAGGTATGCTTTGTCTTCTATATTTGCCATGTCACTGCCACTGAAGCTGCCATCTGTGGAACAGAAGCAATAGCAGCAATACTGGGATGGATTGGAAAGAAATGGGTAAACACACCTGCAAAGCATTTAATCATACTCCTCTGATATTTTTGGGACTTCAGATGGTAATTTCATTTGAAGCAGGACCAGGTCCAAGTAGAAAATTAAAATTTTAAACTGGAAGACTGATGAGGCTGCACCCACACACCTGTATAAAGAGATCTCCTCACAGAAAGCCATATAAATGTGTTTTCAATTGCAGTAGAAAGGTATGATTGTAAACCAAACTCAGTTGTATTTACTCCAAGCAAGTCCAGGAGGAAGAGTAAGACGGAATGGTTGCTATCCCAATCTTCTATAGGCATAGACATGAAACAAAGCTGCAAATTTACCTTTTGTGGCCCACTTCTAGAGGTGAGGGTGTTCAGGAAGATTGGAATGGTGCCTGTAGCCTCCCTGCTGCAGCTGTGGGTGCTGTCTGACTCAGGAATGGCATAAATGACATGGCCTTCAAGGAACAGGAGCACAAAGCAGCACCAAAGCAACAGCACTGAGAGAAAAAGGCTGGAACCAGAGACCCAGTTGTCAACAAAAGTAATGCCAAGACTGCACAATTTTGATGCTGTCCAAACCAGTTAACTGCTCTATGCAACCTTTTCCCCATCTATTTAGAAAACTGGAATTGTATTATTTTTAATGGTAAGTGGCACGGACCCCATAAATATCATTCTGCTGCTGATCTTCAATTTTACTCAGTTTCTGGAAATGGGGGGTGGAGGAGATGGAATACTGTTTAATATTTTGGAATTATTAAAAGTGGAATTACACCTGTCCAGTCATGATCATTCTTCACATCTGGGGATGTACAACTAATCTCCAGTGCAAGCTGAAACGTAACCTCTGAAGATAATAGTATCACATCAGTTTGTGAGGAGAAGTGAGATCCTAATCTCCATAGCCTTGTCAAATTACTTATTGGGAATTAGAGGGGGAGGGGAAAAGAAAGAAATACATACCTCTGTGTATTTTAACACACATTGTTTTGAGGAAATACAAGCCATATGCAGGTGGGACAAATCCATGCTAAATAAATAATTAGAACCGGCACAGAAAAGTAACTGCACAAAAATCTCATGCCAGGGGAAATATGTTCCAGGCTATCTGTGCTGTCAAGCAGCAAAAAAATTAAAATAAAAAAGTTTTGCTGTATGAGAAAGACGAGTGGTTTCAAATACTCCTTTAACACTGACACAAACAAGGTCAGATATCGTGGTGCCTGTCTCGCTTCCAGACTTCAGAGGGAGAGCAGTGATTCATGGAGAGCATGCAAGAAGCAGTGCTGAAATGGAGCTGAGAAGGCCATGAGCAAGGTCCTGTTTGTTTGTCTTTACATAATGCAAGACAAACAGAATATGGAATTAAATTAGAAGGCAATTACCAATTACTTCTTCACTGCTATATTGAAAACCAAATACTTAAAGAGCAATGAATTGTTCCCATGAAACTTGATCGATTTTGTAGTGGTTATAAGCAATAACTGGTAAAAACCATGAAATGTATATACATGTACAAAGAGAATCTCCCTAATAGCTACAGATACCATAGGCAGAACTATGTCCTGCTGGCTCTGAGACAGAGCTGGCTCCCTGCACAGACAAGGGGCTGCCTGGGACTGACAGTTTTTATCAAGTTTGACCTAACAAATTCTTGCACTCGATCCACTAACTGAGAAAAAAAACTAATTAATACACACGATCTTTGCTTCAGTATTAAGTTGCAAAAATCATGACAGATGCCAGAACTAGCCAGAATTTTCCCCAAGAGGAAGGGAAGGAAATATTTTTTTTTAATACACCAAAAATTAAAATTAATGAATGCCAGGATAAAAATAAAATAAAATAAAATAAAAAAAAATAAAATAAAAAAAAATAAAATAGTGTTAAGACTGCCAAAAATCTGGATTCAGGTACTAGCTACAGAGGCGTTTTGAAAAAAGCTGGCAGGAGGTAAGAGACACCTTAGGAAATGCAATTCGATCCTTACAAATAGGTTGTAACTTGGTACCGATCGGGGTTGAGGAGGGGAGAGGGAGGAGTCGGAGTAAAGCATCCTCGTTACTAAAACCATAAAAGTTACGAGTGTGGTGTGCTTTAGGTTTGCCCGGTGGAGCGGCATCCTGCGGCGGTGTACATGCGGTGTACGAGAGGGCAGAGCCTGACAGGCACTCACCGGCATCCAAAGACTCAACCTTCCCCCGAGCGCCCGCTCGCAGATCGGAGACATCAAGCAGGGCAATGATGTCTCCGCCCGACCGTCCGTGAACGCCGCTCTCCGCTTTTCCCCCCGCTGGATCCTGGCAGCCCCGGCACACACGAACCCCGCCAGCGCTCGGGACAGGGTCCGAGCTGAGCCGCGCTCTGCCGGGGCACCGTCCCCGCGGGCCGCGGACTGCCGGCACCGCTGCCGGCTCCGGCTGTGCCGGGCTGGGGGGAAACTCGGGGAAAGGGCTCTCCCCGCCTTGGGAAGCGCCTGGCACGCCCCGCGGACAGCGCTCACCTGCCGGCTGCACGGAGCCACCCGCGGGCTCGGAGCGGAGCGGGAAACTCAGCCGGGACCGCAGCGCGGCCAGCACAGGTGCGGCGCCCGGGAGAGCGCGTTCGCCGCCTCAGAGCGCGTCACGGCCGGGCTCGGGCTGAGTGCTTGGGCAACTCGCGCCAGCGGCCCGGGCAGGGGGCCGGCGCTGCCCCGATGCGGGGAGGGGGCTGTCGGTCAAAGACATGAATGAAAGATGAGCGCCGCTGCCCGGCCAGGACGGTGCCCCTGGGGCTCGCAGGGCGGCTGGGGCAGCGGCGCTCGGGGCGGGGGCCGTGCCCCGGCGGCAGGCGGCGCTCCGGGGCTGGCGCTGGGGCTGCGGCGGCGGCAGCGAGCGGGGCCGCGCCAGCGGAGCGAGCAGGGAGCTGGGAGAGGGGCGAGGCGATGGAGCGGGGAGCAACCGGCGCCGTCCCCGGTCCCGTTGGGGAGGAGGCAGTGCCTGAGGTGAGAGGGGCTGCGGCAACTCCGGCGGCACCGTGCGCGAAGTTGCCGGGTCCCGTCCGTGCCCGGGCCGTGCACGGAGCGGGGGGCGCTGCCAGAGCCGGGCGAAGCGCGGCCGCCCCGCCCCGTCCCCGCCGCCTGCCCCGGGCTGGGGCAGCGAGCGCGGCCGGCCCGGCCCGGCACCGCGGCAGAAGGTAACGGGGCGGGGGCGATGGGAGCTGTGCCGGGGCGCAGCCGCTGCCCTGCCCGGACTGCCCCGGGGCGCTGCTTTGTCCGCTTGCCTGCTTGGGGATTTTGGGTGGCGATTCGCTTTCGCTACAGAAACGGGATGTGCGGGGCTGTCAATGGAATGACGGTGGTGTGCCCGTGCATGGAGCTGCACAGGGGCTCCAGATCATGTAGGTTTTGCTTAGGCAGAGCTCCCGCTGGTTTCCCGGGTCTTTCTCAAGGTTTACACAAAATTGAGTCTTTAGTCAGTCTGCAACATCTCCTAAATAATATGTATAGCTAACGTGGTTATGAGTTTCAGTTTGGATCCTAGGCAAAATTTGCTCTGAATAGGAAGGCAGTCATAGTTAATGTTTGTTAAATGCATTTTTATCAATCTGAGTGCATGTTATTAGTATGATCATACCGTAAATTCTGAAGGAATATGAAGGGGCTGTCTTGATTCAGGTCTATACCATATGGTTTGAATATTCCAGCTTTGGCACTGACCCTGAAAACAGTGGTTAAGGTTTGTCCCAAAGAAAAAAGTACCTGACCATAAGACCCATGATGAGCCTGATCACTTCTAGTGGAGTACTTCTGAAAAGGCCATCTCTCCTTTCTTTGAAGCACTTGTGCAGCAGATCCTCTTGCTAGAACTTCTTACTGTGTCTTTCTCCCCAGGCTAAAATTGAATTGGTCCATAAAAAGTGGCAAACCTTCACCTGACAGCATTTTTTTTTTTAGTTCAGCCTGAAGCACCAAAGTTTCTTGAGAAGAAAAGCTGTCTTTTGACTGTGCTCATCCCTCCCCTGGCTATTACCACAGTTCTGAAATGACTTGAGGGTGACCTTCAGAGAAAGAAGTCAGCTTTGCTCAGAGGATTTCAAACCTTTTATTTGCCCTTCTTAAGGCTTCTCTAAAACAAACAAGCAGAGCATTTGGAAGGAAACCTATGACTGAATATTCAGCAGTTCATTTCCCTTGGGTAAAAGCTGATAGATGTTTTCACTTGTTTTGGAAAGGTTTTTAGCCAAGCAAGAAAGATCTGATTTGACACTGCTGAAGTAAATAATGAGGTAAAGCAAAGGAAGGTAGTCTCTTTTTGGTACATCACTCCTGATGTGTGGAAAGAGGGGTTAGAAACTGGGTGAACTGTTGCAGGACTTTTTCCGTTATACTTTTATTTTGGTGGGTTAATTAGTGTATCAGTTTCTGTGAAAATTCAAGACTCCTGCCTTTTAAAAAACATTAGCAATATCACTGGATATTTTCAGGCAGTGCATATCTGAGACACTATGGCACTTGCCAAGAGATGAACAGCACTTGGCCTTGTGCCTCTGGGCTTGTGCCTAATTATACATCGCAGGAGCACTGCATTAACTGTCAATAAATGTTTGCCATCACTTCGGGCTGAAATAAGGAGTGGCTTTAAAACAGCACAGAAAGAAAAGTTTCAGCTCAGTTTTTAAATGTGATACAGCCCTTTGTATGACTAACTTTCGGTTCCTAAATCTATTGTCAGGGTCCCCATTAATATAGCCCAGCTTTTTTTATGTGACTTTGGTTTTGAAGACCTAAAATGAGTGAGTTTATTTCTTTAATTTCCCCTTAGCAGCTCCGTGTTGATAAAACAGATGAGAGAAGACTTTCATTAGAATTGCATTTCTCTGCTGAACTTAGGCAGACTGTGATGGTCATATTCATATTTCCCTTTCCTTTGTTATTGTGTTTGATTCTTGGAGAAATCCTTTTAATGCCTGACCATGATTTCAGGACACTGTAAGAAATTACCCCCACGTAATCAGATTGTGCTTTGCACTGAACACAGCACTGTCTGCAGTCAGACAGGATCAGTAGTCAGGCCAGTGATGGATGGATTTTTAGACACTGTAGAAACCCTCCGACTTCTCCAGCATGAGACCAGACTAACTGGAGAAGCTAGAGCCAGGTGGCAACTGATGATGCTGTAGCTGTAGCTATGCTGACATTGTGCACTGGTTCTTGGTATGGGGTGAGTACCCAGGTGGGGAATTATTCCAGAGTATTGTCTTCTGAATGCTCGGCATAGGTTTTAGCTAGTGAACTTGCATGCACACAGCTATTTGATTGCTTGTTTTGAGCAATTAGGGAAAGACTGAGATGGAATTGATCCTTGTGTCCTCAGATTGTTTGCAAGAAAGAAAAAGAGGCAATATGTTAGGACTGAATGAATAATAAAAATAAATGTTCAATTTTAATAGTATTAAGAGAAGAAACTGGAGGTAGTGGAAGCTCCAAATCTTTTAAATGTCTGAGTGATTGAGTGATTAATCTTATTTTTAAAATGACATGGGCAATCAAGGACCAGAGTGTTAAAACTGTGATACAGATGGGTTTCAGCAAAGGATTCAGAAACTTTCAGATGCATGTAGGTGATAAGGATTGAGATTATTTCTTTTCAAACGTTTTTCAGCTCTACTAAAAACAAGAAGAAACCTATCAGCTCTGGTGCACTACCTCTTTAAATACTCAGTGTGCCTTGAATTGAATGGAATAACTTATTTACTCAGTTAAGACATTAGTTTTGAGTTAACCAACTCGCACTTTTCTCCACTCAGATGAATATCCTCATCAGATTATAAGAGGTGTCATAATCAGCCAAGGGATTTCAATGCTTTGTTTACATCAGGCATTTTTAAGAACCAATTAATTAAACCTGAGAACTTTAAGTTACTTGGTACTGCTTCCCTGGTGTGTGCTGCCTCTGCACCACACGCACGTTCCATTTCAAGAGGCAGTTTAGCCCCATGGAAAGTCAGGGTCTGTTGCTTCTGTTCCTCTTGTGTAGTGTTTTACCTGTGAGAGACTTTTTCCTTGCTCCTCACTTAGTTTTGTTCTTCACTGGACTAAGATACAATTGCAAATTCAGATCTTGTGCCCTGTGGTTAAAGGGTGAGCTGAGTGAAAAAAACAATGTTTGTGAAGGCTCTGGTGCTGGTCATAGTGCCTGATGACAGACCAGTGGCCTTTCTCTGACTTCCCAGTAGAGAGAATGGGCACTCCTATATTATTTAAGGTGAGAGAGGGGCTAGAGTCACTCTGCTTTCTTAATATTGTCCTTTTGCCCTTGCCAATTCAAAAATAATCTGTGATGGTTTACTGAATGCTGATGTGCTTTAGGATGAGTGCTTTACCTCTTCAAACTTCCAGTGCTTTCACTAACCTTAGGTGTATGAACACAATTTCTAGAGCATTTTTCTTATTATTAAATATTTTAAATCTTTGGTTTTTTCACCCTGGAATTAAGATAAGAAGTATGCAATCTCCCAGCTTCTTAACATGAACTGGCATTTCTGATAATTGTTCAGGTTCTACCAATACATTTGCCATTTCACCACTACTTGGTGATAAAACCTAAATCTTTGCAGCAAGTCAGAGGTTAGTGGTATTTTTTCCAAGTGACAAAAAGCTAAAAGAGGAATTTAAATTACTGTAATTGAATTAAGCCGCTGTAGTCTATTTCCATTCCTGAGTAGAAAAGGTCCCAAATGATTTCTTTCTTCTTCTTGTTCAGGGTTCTAAATAACTACATTAAAAATAAGGATAATTAAGACTGTAAACTGTGATACCAACTATTGATCAAAATAAATGTAAAACCACTATGTTTGCAGGGTATCTGCACAAACAATGGGTCTCCATGCTGTGTGCTTGGTCAGCCGGTGTCTTTCAGTAGAATCTGTGATGCTTGTTGAAAACAAGAGATCCAGCTAAAGTAAGTTAAATTAGAGTTCTACACAAGTTGCAGGAGATAAATCAATGTTTGACAAATGGGAAAGGATATGAGCATTTAAAAGAAAAAATGTACTCAAGATTCTAGGAATATTAAAGCAACCAAGATGAAACAAAAATAAAGCATTAAAAATGTATCCTTTCAGTGTTGTTTCAAGAAGAATTACACATGTTGGTGTTTATGGAGATTATTCTCATCTTCTTATTCAAAGCTTTGTGTTTCTTGAAGATACAAATAATATTTAGACTGAGATGGTACCCACAAGAAGCGCTTCTTAAATATTAATGTTGTGGGGAATTTTTGGCAAATGAGTTAGAGCTGTTTGTCTCAGCCATCTATAAATGGTTCTGTGAACAAAATAAATAGATTGATACCAACTGGGCAGGGAGTAATGGGTAAGATCCATCTTTGTCTGTGTACAGGATGCCCACTCAGGAATGGGAGCAGTTGGGGCCATGCTGGTGATACCTTTCTCTGCGTAAGATCCATCTTTGTCTGTGTACAGAGTAGTGCCAGGATGCCCACTCAGGAATGGGAGCAGTTGGGGCCATGCTGGTGATACCTTTCTCTGCCTGAATTCCATTGCTCCTCAGGGGGAAAAGGCTGCTGAGACACAGCAGGA